CTGACACAGTGCGTTATATGTCTCTCTGTTAATCAAAGGTCAGCAGTATTTCAAATCCACCAGCTGCTCCTTGGAAGAAAGATGCATCATCTCCGCCCATAAAGATTTAAATCCCCAGAAACCCAATAAAGGGTCGCTGTGAGTAGGAACTAATGTGAAGGCTGTGGTTTTGGTTTGGCTGGTATTATATGGCAGGCACTGGGTAGGGTGCTGGGAAAACCAGACACAGTCCCTACTTACATGGACAGGTCTGGGATAAAAATCCATTCTAGAACTAAACTACGGTGTCTGCCAGTGGTGGGGGAAATGCACGGGAGCATGTAACAAGGGGCAGGACCAAGTCTAGAGGAGCAAAGGGAGAGCTTTCTGGGACAGAGATCCCTGAGCGAAGGGGGGATGGGAATAAGTCTGTGAGGGGAAGCAGGCCCTGGGGAGGGAACAGTGCGGGCACATATCCTGAGTGGGGAAGGAATGAGAAAATTCCAAGAATGGGCCAGGGTGGCAGAAGGATAGTGAGTTGGACCAAGAGAAGAAAACAGTCTGGGGAAGAAAATTGTTCTGACCTCTTGAAACTTGAAAGAATGAATGCTTGCAAGGCCCCTGGTGCACGACTCACGGGGGGACCTGTTCCTCACTGTCCTCAGCACTGTCTCTCCCCTGACTTCCCTTTGGGCAGGCTGAGTGACTTGCGCTCTCAACCTTCTTGTGCATTGTCAGTTCATTGCGTGAAGAGTGAGGATCTGTGTTTAGTAGGGACCTGAGAGGAGGATACCCCAAGGTTGGAGGAGCTTGGCTCCTTCTGTCAAGGAACAGCCAACTGTTCCAGGAGGGATCTGCACTGTCCTAAGTAATCTTTACACCCACTCTGTGAAATGGGTCAAGTTTTCAAACTATTTCAGAGGAGAAGAAATTGAGACTTAGAGGGGTTAATTGTCTTAACTACAAAGAGCTGAATGAATTTCTCTATTGAGAAATTGCAATTGGTTAGGAACCATCTCCTAATTGTCCTTCTGGTGGGGTTTCTGAAGCTCTAAGTCACACGGGAGAAGATTGTCCATCTTTCTCCCTCTCGGTTGCTGACGGATTTGAACCACCAGAGAAGAGCACTGCCTTTGAGTTAGCAACACAGCTCCCAGTGGACTCCAAGAAGCGAAGACGAGGTAGGGGTCTCACGTGCACTCGCTCTCTCGCTCTCTCTCAAGATTGCTTCCTGCTTCCAGGATCCCTCTTTAAATGCCTGTTTGCTTTGTCGGCCTCAACTCACTCCTATGGCCCCCATCCCTCGAAGGTAAGTTTCAATAAATTATGAATGAATGATGAAGGGCACCTTCACTATCCTGTATCTCTGTGTCTCTCTGGCCGACCTCTCTCTCTCTCAAGGCATTTCTATCTCTACCTGCATGTTACTATTTCTATCTGAGTCACCCTAAAATCATGTCAAGTCAAGAATCCATCAGAATGCCTCAAAGACAGAAGGCTTTCTTCCCATGCCAGGCCCAACAGCTGACAGTGCGGATTGAGAAGTGCCATCAGGAAAGTGCAGGCCAGGCCACGGACAGCAGGGGAGGAGCCAAGGCCTGCCCCGGTGTCTCTCCCAGGTCACCTCTGCTCCCCTTGACGACAGCATCCAAGCTCACTCCCCAGCACAGGCTATTGGGGCTCAGCCTCCTGAACCTCAGGTCTCCTGCAATCATCTGCTCTAACATCAGCCTGTGGCCACATTAACAAGTCAAGTCACCTGTGGTCCCAGGAAAAAGCCATTCACCTAATCCGGTAACCATCAGGAGAGATGAATCATGGTGCCTATCAAGTTCCCTGGGCAATTTAAGATCCTTTCACAATAAAAATAAGCCCCTAAAACAAAAAGGAGCTTGACATTTCAAGGCAAGCCCCATCTCATAAAACAGAAATCTTAGCCGCACTGCAATCCCAGAGGTATGAGGGTTTGAATCCAATAGATGCTCTGCTGGAAAAAAAGGGGCAGTCTCCTCCTGTACCAGTCAGATCCAATTTGATGGTACACACACAAGAGATAATTTTAAAAAACAAAACAAAACAGAAATCTTGATATCAGCCAGGAAAAATTCATGCTGGTCCACGTGGGCTCCAAGCTTCATCCCAGTCCTGAGAGTGAATAGGACTAGAAAGGACCATTTAGAACTGGGACAAGCCTGATCTGGGGACCTCAGAGCTGAGCTTGGCCACTTGAGTCTATATAGAGGCAAGTCACTACCTCCCAAAGATGAGGAGACTGGAGGAGGTGCCTCCGTAGCCCAGCTCTGTCACTCTGTGTCCTGTGGAGAGAAGGACACGCCTCCTAGAAGTGCATTATGGGACACTGGAGCCAGAGAGGTCACATGACCTGCTCTAGGATCTAGAGGCAACCCCTTCTGTCCCCACTAGACTGTGCTATTGAGTTGCTTTCCTGGCCTATTATTTAGGTCAGAAAGGAGAAAAAAAAACCCAAAATGTGGGAGTGGGGGAAGGAGCCTTGTCATTTATAAGACGGTTGGATCTGTAGTTAAGACCTCATGACCACTGGCGCCTGTGGACAAGAGCACTGTCCAGCAACAGGACCTGAAGTGTTGGCTCTACTCTTCAGACTGAGTATGGCAGGGATCCCATAGAGCAGAGGGGTTCACATGGGACTCTGAGACAGCTGCCTTATATGCCATTTTCCTCTGACATCTGCATATCCAGGATGGGATCATCTCTAGTCCCAGCAATGGACTTCTCTTCCCAGTGAGAGTCTGCGTTGCAGCCAGGTGACCTTAGTCTGCCGGTTTTACTCTCCACCAAGCCTAATTTCTTCCCTCCAGACAGTAATAGCTACCACTTAAGCAGAGATGACTCCTCCTACCACGTTCAGGTCTAAGAAATCTCACATTTCTATCCTAAATCGTACCAGTTTCCTTTGAGAGTGGAAACTTTACACTGGCACCAACACCAAGGTCAGATGGTGTCTGGGAATTCTTATTCAGGACAAAGTATTTGGGTGGGCCCCCTTATCTTCGGTCCCCACTGCTGACTGCTGGTTTATTTTCTGTTTAGGTTTGTCACCTCTCAAACATGGACCACTCCCCACCCAGGGTCCAGGATGCCTACGGGTGTCATGCAGCCCCCTTCTCCTGGGGTCCTGCCACCTCTGGGGCCCATATATTCTCATCCTTCCTATTCTCGAAAGAAGCTCTTCCAAACCTCCCTCCTCTCTGAGCTGTCTCCTTAATATTTCCTGAACTCTACTCATTCACCTCTAGGATGGCCCACCCTCACTCAGGGACCACTCAGATCATCTCTGTTAATGTCGAAACCCAGGTGAAAAAAAAGACAACTCAGAATTTCAGGAACACAAATCAGGTCTCTGTATCCTGGGGCCAAGGTGGAAACAAGAGAAATCAACATGTCTTCACCCATTTTCCTCATACCTCATCCTCTTACACTACTATTTCTAGAGCGTGGGCTACGGGCCAAGCAGAATGTTAAGCATGTTTCCTGTGTGAGCTCATTTAATCTTCTACCAACCTGATGTAGTAGGAGATTTTATTCCCCACTTTGTAAAAGAGGAAATGGGTGTCCTATCTTGTTCAAACTCCTCAGGCTAGTCAATGGCAATGCAGGTAGGTACTCCCTCTGACCCAAATGATCTGATTCCTGGGTCCAAACAGACTTTTTCAAACCCAGCCTCAACTGTGACTCCCCCTAGAAGGTTCATTCAAATGAATGAGCTGTTAGAATTGACGTAGTGACTGGAGAACTCTTTCCTAGCCTGAGGTGGTGAGCCCTACCCATTTCTGGAATTTACTCTACTTGCTCTGGTGTGTTGACTCCAGTTTCTCCTCCATCTCCAGGCCTCATGAGGGAGTTAGACACTCTCACCGAGGGGAGTCTCCTCCAACCCGGGCTCTTCTGGGCATTAAATCTTTCCAATTTTCCTATCAGCCTGAAGAAGCAGGGTTCATCATCATTACCTTACAGGTAAAGAATCTTAAGACTCAAACTCTCCAGATTCACAGAGTTAATACAGAACAGAACTAGGGTTAGACATCATCCAGTCTGTTCCCAAACCACTAAAAATGCCCTTGTTATGAACAGATAGACCGCATACACAAGAGTTAACACATTCAGGACAGCTAGCTCAGCCATGCACTGAACCTTCACTACACTGGGCTCTATAAGAGAGGCTCTCCACCTCCTTTCTTCCCACTAATCCTTCCAACAAAACCATGAGGCAGGTACTGCCATTATTTCTGCCTAAAGCGCTTGAAACTGAGGTTTGGAGATGATAAACTACTTACTCTAGGTCAAGAACTAAATGCAGGCAGGATTCAAGCCCAGCTCAAGGGGTAGGATGGAGTGAGGTAGAGGAGATAAGACTATCAGTGAATCACAAGTTCTTACTTGGGGTTCAGGGGTCTCCACTGATGAGCTTTTAGTATCCATGAACACCATGAAATTATTTGCAGACAAATGTGGGTATTTATTTGGAGAGAAAAAGAAAGTCTATGACTTTAAAGCCATGCTCAAATGAATCTTGAATCACAAGAATGAACGACTGGTATATAATAGGTGATTGAATGAACTAACTAGTCAATAAATGAGTGAGTGAATGAATGAACGAATGTTCCTCCATGCCCTAGGAGACACCGCATATGACCCTGTACACATACCTGCCTGGACTTTTTGATATGGTGAAAGCTATCCTGGGACCTCAGCCCAACCCGCCCCCGAACCCTTTCTCCCAGCCCCCGAGGCCACAGCCAGGTGCTAGGACTAGCTCCAGAGATGCCGCCCCCGCTTTCTCCCACATCTGCTCCGACCAATGACCAGGCTGAGTCAGGAGTTGTGCAACTCAAAAAAATGAAGCTTTATTGATTGCCAGGAAGGGACAAGGGTGAAGCAGGGTCCATGTGTGAAGTGCTTGGAGGGTGGAAGAGAGGATCCCCCAGAGGCCTCTGTGTCCACACCGGGGGTCTCACAGGCCTGAGCAGTGCTGTGCAACCTTAGTTCTTGGAACGAAGGACCTGCTCGTGGCTGGACACCACCTTGCCATCGTGCACATCCACGACCTTGGTGCGGATCTGGCGACTGGTGGAGGATCCTGGAGAGGAGGGCAGAGAGGGACAAGGAATTGGAAAATTAGAAGCAGGGAACCCAAGGAGCTGAAGACATTGAAGTGGACCTGTCCCCTGCCCTCTCCCTGATTACCACCACCCCACTCATCCTCATTGCCTAACCACTGATATCATCAGCACATTTCTTTCAGGCGAGGCTCCCTCAGGTCAGGGGCAGAGTCTCTGGAACTCCCTAAGAACTCAGATACAACTAGTCTTGGCAGGAGGAGCCATGTAGGATCCTGCCTGTGGTGCTGACCACCATCGCCAGGGGGTCAATTACAGATATGGAGTGGAAGAAGTAAAGGAAGGATTCCACCAATCCCTAACCATAAGGCTGAAGAAGAAAAAAGAATGGGCTTCTTCTACCCCACACAGTACTGGGTTAAAGAAAATCTAGCCTCTCAAGAAGTCCGTTATCAACTCCTCAGACCTGCTAAAGGTCAGGGTGGTCCCAAACCCAGACGTGAAGAGGAGGAGGGTCTTACCTTCTCTGTGAGACTGGGAGCCAGAGGAGAACGAAGAGGCAAGGCTGTGAAGACAGAAAGGGGTAAACAGTTAGACACACGGGGACACAGAGTAGAGGGAGATGAGGTCATGGAGTGGGGGAGTGGGGGGAACTCACTGGGCGTCCTCGCCCTCCAGCAGGCGCCGGTAGGTGGCGATCTCCTGCTCCAGGCGCGTCTTCACGTCCAGCAGGATCTTGTACTCCTGACTCTGCTGCTCCATCTCGCAGCGCAGCTGTGCCAGCTGTTCCTCCACGCCGCCGATCATCTCCTGGATCTGGGCCAGCTGCATGCAGTAGCGGCCTTTGGTCTCCTCCAGGCTGTTTTCCAGGGATGCTTTCTGCAAGTGAGAGAAGGGAATGAGGGCCAGGGTGGTGAGTAAGGGTGGTGGGGACCTCCCTCCCAGGCTCTGCCCGGCTCCTGCTCAGAGCAGCGCTCCTACCATGCTGAGCTGGGACTGCAGCTCGATCTCCAGGTTCTGCATGGTGCGCCGCAGCTCCGAGATCTCGCTCTTGCCGCTCTGCACCAGCTCGCTGTTGGTGGCCACCTCGCGGTTCAGCTCCTCGGTCTGGATAAAAAGAACACTTGTCATACCCGGAGGCCCCAGAGAACGGGTCGGTCCCCTGAGTCCCTCCCACCATCCATGGCACCCACCTTGCTGAAGAACCATTCTTCAGCATCTTTGCGGTTCTTCTCGGCCATCTTCTCATACTGGTCACGCATCTCGTTCAGGATGCGGCTCAGGTCCACGCCAGGAGCTGCATCCATCTCCACGTTGACGTCTCCGCCCACCTGGCCTCTCATGGAGTTCATCTCCTGCACAAGCAGAGAGCAGTCCACATCAGGAGCTTCTCCACAACAGAAGCCTGAGACCCCCTAGTCCAGGCCTGGTTAGATGCGCTCCCATCATCTCCGTTTGGTCTCTTCCCTCCCAGCTTCTTTTGGAAGCCATCTTTCCCAGTTAGCTCTCACCTCCTCATGGTTCTTCCTGAGATAAGCCAGCTCCTCCTTCAGGCTCTCGATCTGCATCTCCAGGTCGGCTCTGGCCAGGGTCAGCTCGTCCAGCACTCTGCGCAGGCCATTGATGTCAGCCTCCACGCTCATGCGCAGGTTCAGCTCCGTCTCATACCTGAAATGACCCAGGAGAGGGGACATGAGCCACCCACTGTGGCCACACTGGAGGCTTTGTTCTCTGTCCCCTGCAGCACCTTCCCATGGCTGGAACTCTGTGGTGGCTTATAGAGAAAATCTTAAGCAAGGCACACAATTGCACATAGTACCCACTGACTGGCCTGGTCAGACTTGCCTGGGGCACAGGGGGCAAGGTAGGTCATCACGCTGCAGAATGGGGGCAAGGGTGGTTGTTGCCTGAGCAAGCGGCAGAACACAGGGTCTCCAAACAAGTCCCCCTTTCCCACAGGCCCCTGTCGTGGGACACACCCTTCCCTCTCCTGACTGTGGTTCCCAAACCTGACTGCAGATCACAATTACCCAGATAGCCTGCTTAATAATAACTCAATCACCGCTCCAAGGGCGGGGCCCCAGAGACTGGTATTTTTACAAGCTCCACCAGGGGCTTCCACACAGTTCTCTTTCTTGGCACTGCTCAGCTGTTTGGAGATACTGCTCCAAACGTAGACCATCCTGGGGAGACCTAGGTGAGGTGTAGGGGATGCTGGACCACAACTGCAAACTCACTTGGTACGGAAGTCATCGGCTGCCAGGCGGGCATTGTCAATCTGCAGGAGGACATTGGCATTGTCCACAGTGGCTGTGAGGATCTGCAGGACAGAAGGAGACATGTGTGAAGTTGACCTCATTGGCCAGACTTGGCTGCAGCCTGCATTATCCTCTGCTCTCCTGCTCCCACCTGAGACCCCTCATCTCCACACACCGCCCCCCCCCCCAAGATTACAACACAGGACAATCCCAGAACTTTGTTGTTATGTGGTAGGCAGGGGGTGGGGTAGAAAGGACTCTGGCTTTTCATGCTGTGGTCCCAGTCCTGCCACTGACTGGCTGTGACACATGAGCCAGGTCTCTGAACCTCAAATTCCTCACTTAGAGGGGAGAGGCGTAACCAAAGGACCCCCCACCCCTCCTTTTCCGACTCTTCCTTTCTGTGAACATCCGTCTCTTTACAGCTGAGTGAGTACATTCCTTTCAGGTGGGACTTTTCCAAGAGATAAGACTCAACTTGCACAGAAGATTAGAAAAGAGGAAGCAAGGAAAAAAAAATAAATGGATTGAACCCTGAGATTGGCAGGAGTTCCCTCCCCAACATCTCATTTCCTTAATCCATGCGAGAGAGCAGTCAGGCAAAGGACGCTGGCTCCACAGGGCAGGTTCTGGGTGATGAGGGAGACGGGGAGAAGGGGTTGGGGTCATAAAACACAGCCAGGCCTCCTGTGCAAGGGATATAGGTGATCTAGACTGATTATTCCATGAGGAGGGGGGTTTCCGCGCCCGTCTGCCTGTGGAGAAGCTGATAAGGCTCACTGGCAGCATTCACCCAGCCCAGACTAATGAGCTAATGAGCAGTTTGGGCGTCTCGCCTGGTCCCGTTAGAGCCTTGCTCCTCCCCTGTGCCAGAGCCCAGGTAGTGCTGCTTCTCCTCCCGCTACGAAGTCTTATTTGGGAAGTCTAAGGCCTCCAAAGAAGGGGCCTGGGATTGGGGTCCATCCTCCTAGAGTCTAAAATAACCAGTGGCCTAAGGCTTCTATAGCTACCGAGACTGCAGTGGGATCTCTGGCTGCCCAGTTCACAAACCTTGTTCCTCAGGTCCTCGATGGTCTTAAAGAAAGGGCTGTAGTCTTTGATCTCAGTTGGCCGCTGCTTCTGGTACCAGTCACGGATCTTCACCTCCAGGTCAGTGTTGGCCTCCTCCAGGGCCCGCACCTTGTCCAGGTAGGAGGCCAGGCGGTCGTTGAGGTTCTGCATAGTCACTTTCTCACTGCCCACCAGCAGGCCATCACCACCACCAAAGCCACTACCGATGCCACCACCAAAGCCACCACCAAAGCCAGCACCATATCCTCCACCAAAGCCGCTACCCAGGGCCCCACCGAAGCCGCTGCTGCTGCTGCTGCTGAAGCCACCACCATAGCCACCCCCCATCCCAAAGCCTCCCCCGGAGGAGAAGCGGGAGGAAGAGGCTGACAGGCCCCCGTAGGTGCTGGGGGCCCGGCAGGACCCTGAGGTCAGGACAGAGGAGATGCGGCTGGAGCCGCCCCCAATGCCACAAGAGCCCTTCATGGAGCTGGAGGAGGTGAACTGGCGGCTGCAGGAGGTCATGGTCCCGAGAAGGAAGTGAGCAAGTGAGCAGGCGAGTTGACAGAGAGAAGAGAAAGGTGCTCAGGTAAGTTGTAAAAGGATGCGAGTGATTTATACCCCTGACTAGGGGGCGGGCCTGGCATTTTCCATTCCCCTTGGCTTTCATCACCCACAGGCAGCGCCAACTCCCAGCCAGATCCCTCCTCTCCTCTGTCTCATCATGTCTGTCATATTTTACTGTAAACTCACTTGTTTGGGGCAGTTTTGGCTTTCTTGTCCGCCAGGCATGATTCATATGGGGACGTGTGGGCCTGCAGGCTATACTTTCCCATAAGCCTCTAGAACTGAGGTCTCTAGAGCCCAAGTCTGGGCTCAGACAGGGTGACAGGGAGCAGAACCTCTCAGCATCGCAAACCTGGTGACCTGCTGGTTCCCCATTCCTTGCAAGGAGCTTTACCATCCCATGTGGGGGGAAGGTATGTAATTTTTCCCCCATACCCCCCTGTTAGATGTGAAAGGAAGCAGGAGCCCGATGGCCACACCACATGGTACCACACCTTCCGTGATACTGGCATCTTATAAGACAAGATGGTCTGGGGAACCCTCCCAGTCTCATCTCCAGGACTGTGCTAAGGAGACTGGCCCTTGCAGAAACTACCCAGGAAGTTCCGTAGCTAATGGGGATGAAATGAAATCCAGGTGGCTCCATTCCCCAACCCCAACCCAAGGAATCAACCAGTTTCCAAGTGTTCATGGCATTGACAGCTCCATCTGGCCGAGGGAGGTGACTTCAGTCAGAAATAGAAGAGCATGGAGTTTTGAGTCAATCATCCTGCTATTCATGTCCAGCCTGAGGCCTAACACAGCACCCTCTGTGCCCCAGTTTGCTCATCTGTAAAGTGGGAGTAAATGCCCTGCACCCTACTGACTGCAGAGTCAGCCCTGAGAGTCTAAGGCGCCAGTGTCTGTGAAAGGGTTTGTAACCCAGAATGGCTCAATGGAGGGGTGTTTTAAAAAAAAAAAAGAGGGTGGTGGTTGTTGTTGTTGTGTGCCATAAAGTTGACTTTGACTCATGGCAACCCTGTGAATAACAATTATGAACCTCGCCTGCTCCTGCCGGGTCCTTATGACCTCTAAGATGCATTTGTTAGTCAGTGTGTCAATCTACCTTGTTAGGGGTCTTCCTCTCTTTCTCTGACCCTCAACCTTTCCCAGCACATGTCTTTTTCTATGATGACCCTTCCTAACAATATATCCGAAGTATGTGAGACGAAGCTTCACCATCCTTGCCTCTAAGAAGCACCAAGGACTAGCATCACTTTAGTCTTGGCTCTAAAGATGATAGAGGGATCCCCAGAACAGGACTGCAAGGGTGGCTCCCTGTCCCCAGTGTCTTTCTCGGTCCTCAATGGGAGCCTAGGCCTGATGGCGGCATTGCCTCAAGCCCGTTCACTTGAGTCCCTTCTGGGGTGGTCATGGGGTTTGGTCCAAGGGACTATGAGAGAGGAGAGTGAAGGACACCCGGGAGTGGACCAAGCTGTGCTGAGGATGACTCCTGAAACCGCGAGGTTCAAAGGACCTTTCCAGGAGTTTGTACATCAGAGCCTCAGCTATTCCAGCCCACCCCACCCCCACACCCCATACGACTCCTTAGAGATTGTTGTTGTTAGTTGACATCAAGTGGGCTCATGACAACCACATGTACAACAGAAGGAAGCGTCACTGGATCATGCACAACCACCCCACCGCACCCAACCCACCCACCCTCGTGATCATCAGCATGTTTGAGATCACTCCTTCTCAGTCGTCAAAGCCAGAATGTTTGCCCTGAGCTCCCATGAGCCCTCTCCCAGCCTCCGTGAAAGAATCCCCTCCAAGACCCTACCCCACCCACCTGCCAATCTCCCAGCTCCACAGACCCTGGCAGGCACATCAGGAGGAATGTGGTCGTGTCTGGGGCTGCCTGACATGTCCTATCTTCCCAGACAGGCCCCAACAGCCCCCGCTGGAGGCTCCAACGCTCTTCCTGGGATCAACTGCTCCCAGAAAGGAAGTTAGACCTCCCGCCAGCCATCGCATCTCGGTTGCCCCTATTGCAGAAGTCAAGTGGGCCTTCCTCCTGCACTGGTCCCCCACCCCCGTGCGCACAGGGCTTAGGAGCTCAGGAGACAGTGCTGAGACAGACGCTAGAGCTGTGGGCTCCTGAATCTGCCTCGCTGAGGGCTTTCGAGGATGTGAGTAAGCCAGGGCCCCACCCACTCCACCCGCCACTAACAGACTCGCTTAATCTCCTTCCAGAGAATGGCTCCCCCTACCCAGGCCCAGCCCTGCAATTTCCCCAGAAGCAGCAACAGGGATTTAGGCTGAGGGAAAGATCTTTTGTTGGGAGGTATGTTGCTATCGGCTGTGGGTGGAGTGTCAGGGAGCTCAAGAGAGAAAAGTGCCACCTCCAGAGGGGCCCGGGGAGCAGGATGGGGTTCAAAACCCAAAAGAAGCTTCCTCTCTGTCTGTAGACCTGTCTCCCTCCATTGTAAGAAGCAGCCATGGAGCACAGAAGAGAAGATAAGCTCTTCCTCTGGTAAAAATAAAAATAAATATGTCGAAACAGAAAAGGATAAGCTCTTCTCTGCTTGATTCAGGCAGTATATACCCAAAATATGAAACAATACAGAGAAGATCAGCATGGCACCAGCCCAAGAGTGATATGCAAATTTGTGAAAGGTTCCATAACTCTACTGTAAATTAATGGTACAAAACAAAATGTATATGAATGCTTGAATGAAAAGCCAGTATCATTTGTAAAGTTACACTCAAAAGGGGCGGGGGCAGGACGGTGAAATCCAACAAAAGCCAAAAAAAGGTAAACTCTTTCCTGTTTACTTGACTCAGTAGAACCCAAGGGTTCATCAGCCCCCTCCCTCAAAGCGGACGCATACGATAAAAAAAGGAAAACCAAGAAAGATGAACTCACACACACACATACACACACACCCCACCTAAGAAGAGGCCTTTGCTGGACCTTCCACCCTTGAGGTACTAGAGGCCGCCAATGGAACTCAAGTTTCAACTTCCTCCCCACCCCAGAAATCAAACCCTAACTCAGATCCTGGAAACAATTTTCCACCTCACTGCATACAGGGAACCCGGTGACCTAGGACCTGCAAACAGCCCCGTCAGACAAAGAGAGGCTATTGCAGGACGGCACACACCTGTCTTATCCCCAATGCCAAGCAGGCCAGGTGCTAATGGATTTATGGGGAGAGGTAGATTTGGGGGCAGTAGAGGCTAGTGGGCTAGACCATAAGGGAGTCTATTAGTGGGCTAATTCTGTTTACAGGGGCCTAGGGTAACCCACTCCCAGCCCCAGCCCCTGGGCTCCTGATGGGCTTTGTGTGGTCACCATTACCTGGCTCTCCAACAAGCCTGCCCAAAAGAGAGGTGGTAAAGGAGGAGCCCAGGGCGGTGCCTCCCATGGTTAGTGAGTGTCCTGGCATCAGCCTGTGAGGAGAAAGTGGGGGCACAGATGCCAATGCAAACAGGTGAAGCAGGCAGGGCCAGACAGTCCCACCCCCACCCCACCCCCACAGAGCCTGCATTGTGTGCTGTGGGCTGGGTAGGGCACCTGGGGATGAGATCCTAAGGGAAGAGGAGAGACTGGGACGGCCCAGGCCAAGGCGGGAGGCACCCCCCACACACACACTCCCCCAGCTCACAATCTAATGGCAGAGCAGTCCCTGTCCTTTGGAAACTCCCAGCCTGGAAGGAGACAGAGGATACACACCAAAGACCCATACAATCCAGACAAACAAGAAAACTGCAGACCATATGCATCCAATTCCCAGGGCTGCCGTGACAAATTATCACAAACTTGGTGGCTTAAGACAACAGAAATGTATTCTCTCACTCTGGTGGTGGATAGAAATCTGAAATCAAAATGTTGGCAAGGTCATAGGCTCTCAAAGATTATGTTGTTGTTGTTGTTGTTGTTGTTAAGTGCCGTTGAGTCGCAGGCGACTCATAGCGACCCTATGAAGGAGAGTCCTTGACTCTTGGGTGCCTTTCATCCTCTCTCCAAGTTCATAGGGTTTCTGGAGGCAAGCTATTATGGAAGTGGACTCCACTCCTCCTTCCACGCTTATTCAATCAGGGAGCTCCACCCCACTCTCAGTCCGCATTGTAGCCAACCATTAACGCATTTGACACATCCGTGTCACAGTGTTCAGCCTCACGGCAACCACAAGTGACCACGGGATGGCAACTTGTATACCAGGGCTATACGACCTAGAGGAATGTCTGAAAAAAAACAATGAAAGACTGTCCTGAGGGCCGCGAACTGAAAGTCACCCACCTTTGTCTTGATCACATCGTTTTCTCTTCTCTGGGCCAGCTGATCTCTCTCTCTCTCAAAGATTATAAGGGAGGAATTTTCCCTGCCTCTTCCATCTTTCTTCTTGGAGGCAAAGATTTAGAAGCTCCATCTCGCATACTTCAGGCACATGACCAGGAGGGAACAGTCCTTGGAAAAAGACATCATGCTCGGAAGGGTGGAGGGATGACACAGGAGAAGACGACCCCAGATGAAATAAATTGACGCAGTGACTGGGGTAATGGGGACAGAGGTCAGTGAGACTGTCTCAGGAAAGGGTAGGGTTCAGAGTTATTGTACATAGGGTCGCTATGAGTCACAGGTGACTCAATGGCACATAAGAGCAACAATTTCCATCTTCTGATGGTCTCAGGTGTTCCTTGGTTTGTGGGCGTGTAAATCCAATCTCTGCCTCCTTCTCCACATGGCCACCTTCCCTCTGTGTCTGTCCCTTTCTGTATCTTATAAGAACACTCTAGCCAGATGTGGGGCCCACCTCAACCTAGTATATGATCCCGTCTCAATCTTTACCTCCACTGAATCTTACCAAATAAGGTCACACTCTGAGGTTCCAGGTGGATGGACTTGAATTTAAAATGTCACTTTGATGACAAAGATGTATCTGACCCAAGTCATGGTATTTTTCAATCACCTC